TATATATATATATATATATATATATACACAGATAGGCCATATATACTACACAATATAAAGGACATTTTCAAATGTGTCAGAGAAGTGCTAAAAGAGAAGGACTAGATAAATGAAACGTCGCGGTTCGCGATATATTTGTTTACAGAGAAGCGTTTAAAGCTCCTCGGCCGACCATTGGTCGCGATTTTAAAAAGAAAAAGAAAAACCGTCGTTTTGCGCGATCATTGATGTTGGACAAAGACAAAGGACCGTGCCGCGCGGCGACAGCGGACGACGCGCGCGGTATCACGCAGGAATCACGAGAGGAAAAAACACGTCGACCGCGATTGAAGTACGAAGATGTGTGCGGTGGTTTCAGCTCCGATTCAAAGCGACGACCCGATGTCAAAAGCGTAAATGGCTCGCTCGCGCGCGCGAGTTCAAGTTTTCGCGCGTTGCGTAATACAATGTGTCCCATTTACATACCGGTATGTATATGGTAAAAGTGCACACACACAGCTCGCGCGTTTAGGTCGTTACATACGGAGATTGCTTTATACTCTCTCTCTCTCTCTCTCTCTCCCATTCTATTCTTAGTATAATCACAGACATGGTTTCTATAATTGCTACGTGCAGGGCCTTCTTCTCTCGTTCGACGCCGAACACGATAGGTGTCCCTTCCCACCTCCGCCTCACCTCTTTCATCCGTTCTATCTGACGCACATACACACGTAACATACACGCGCATTCGTACACATACACACAACATACGATCCCTCTCGATCTTTCACACAACATCAGCCGCACTCTCATTCACCTCTCGCGTTTTCTCACGCGTTCACTCCTCATGGCGAAATATGTACCACGGATGAAGAATTTTCTCTATCTTTATTATATGCCAGTGACGAAATATCTGAACGCTCGGTGATTAATTCGGTCGAGAGTCGAAAACCGAAACAGCGAACCGTATCACCACGAGTTCTCTCTCGACTCGCAGCTAAGTGCTGCGAGTGAGATCTCATGGACCTCTCTCTCTCTTTCTCTGTGTTAACGGCGGTAAGTATATCAGCTCGTCAAGTAATGGTAATTGAACAAACCTCGATGCCGCGAGAACACGAAGCAGAAACGTGACTAATCGAGCGAACTCGGCTATTATTTGTCGGAGTGGCGCGAGCAAACGTATCGGGTGAGCAGCGGGCGGAATCTTACCAGCAGGCGCGACCAATCCTTCTCTCACGGAATCATTCCCGAACATACTACTGCCGAAACATCCGCGAAAACGCAATCAATCCTGCACACGAACCCACACCCACACTGACTTATACACACACACACATATACACACGACATATACACAAACATATACACATCATACATCGAGCTTTACTTTCCGAGACCGACTCTCTCGATAGTAAAAACATGCCCGTGTGCCTTCCCGTGGATAAAATCACAGCAATTTTATACGTGTCGCGTTTTCTCCCGCTTTCTTTCGTCTCCTCTCACGCGAAGGATAATATACAATTCGTCGGTGTGTACACGCCCGGATTCGACTTCACTTCTCCCCCTTTTCTCCCGACCGTGTCACGGTGCTCTACATACATAACGCCTATATATATGTACATATAAACTCGCGCGCTTTCATGAAATTTGTATTTGCACGTGTACGTATGTATGTACGTGTGTGTATTTATTTGTATGCCTATGCACATTCGAAACTTGCACTTAACAATTCTTACGTGGAGAATCGCTCTCGAATAGTTCCGTCGCTGGGATTTTTCACTATCGACAGCCACCCTCGGGAAACAGCATCCGCGAAAATTTGGAATCGAATCGACACCTTCGCATACGCAATTTCTCCGAATGTTCGAAACAGTCCGTGAGAGAATTTTCCCGAACAGTTTCTCGAATGTCGCTCGTAGAGAATCGCGCGAGGAAACATCGCTGACTCTAATGTGACTTTTTATTTTCGCGTCTGACATTCGTTCGAAATTGACATCAACGAAGGATTTAACTCGACGAGTCAACCGGTCGTACGCTGGAGAAACCGTGTATGCGATTGTCGTGTGTATGTATATATGTGTGTGTGTGTGTGTATATACATATATATACGTATATGTCTTCATTTTCGTGTACAACTGTGACCTGTCCGCATGTATATGTGGCTCGGTGGTAATCTGCATTGACAGTGAGAAATTGACAGTGAGATTCGAGGAAGATATCCTCGACGACGGCGAGAATGGAGAACGCGATCGACTCTCATATCCCGCTCCTTTGCGATCCTCATCTTTAAGATCGTACAAAACCGACGTGTGTGAGACACAAAATCACGCATGGTTGAAACGAAACTGTAACAAAGTTGAAACCGATCCCGTCGCACTAGCCGCGAAAACGATCGCTCGTTTCCCCGTCTCGCGCGTTATCTCGAAATAACAATACTCCCATCGGTGTGTACAAACCTTAAGACTCGCAGGTCGAAACTTTCGACGATGAAGAAGACGTGGAAGAAAAAAGAGGTCGCACGGGGTAGAGAGAGACAAAGAGACAGTGTGTACGTGTGTATGTACGCGATGTATACATGTGAATGTGTGCAGTTCCTTTACTCCCTCGAGAACGTAGCAATAACGGAAGGACGATGAGGCTGGCTGGTCTTCGTTGTTTCTCCCTCGCGTGGTTGCTGCTGGTTGCTCACGGGAGACACTCGGAGGTATGCGGGTGGAGGAAGTGTTGAGATCAATTAGTCGGACTGAGAGAGAAAGACACAGGAAGAAAGAGAGAGAGAGAGTGTGTGCGTTCGCTCCGTTCTTCCGAACTCGCGCAGCGACGGCCGTCGCGCGTCCCTTCTCCGACGGAAGAATCGACTCGTCGTCGACGGCGGCCGTGACGAACCGGGTCGGATTGATGAAAATCGACTAGTCCGCTCGCCTTCGACTCCTCCGCGATTCTAGTGGACTTTCCTCTCTCTTCTTTCTTCTTCCTCTTCTTGCTTCACGCACACGCTGGAAAATCGCTCCTCCGTTTCCATTGGCCTCTCCGAATCGGAGAAAAGTGTCTTTCCTCGCAGGCGCGCCTTCTCGTCCTCGGCTATCCTTCGCGCGCGAGCGAGAGGAGGACCGCGAGGAGCGCGAGACTGGACTAGAGTCGTTTAGTCGTCGACCGACGCGCGTGGACGAGCTCGCGTTCCCATAGGATGACTCTCTTCCGTCCGTGGCAGGAACTCGCTCGAAGGATCATCATTTATCATCAATCATCCTCCGTTTTCCAAAGGAGGCGACGACAGAGAGAGTAGAGAAAATATGTACGTGTGTGTGTGTGCACAGACACAGAAGGAAGCAGAGCGACGGGGAACCGACTCTGCGCTCGGGACTCTCGGTGCGCCGAGAAGAAGGGAAAAATCAAAGGGGAAAACGCAAGGAGGAGGCGCGCACATGTGTGTGTGTGTATATATATATGTATGTACATATATATATATATACATATAGCTGTGTGTGTGTTTGTGTGTAGAGTCCACGAAAAAGTTGAGAGCGCGCGGACCAGCAGCTCCGGTCCGACGCGAAAGGGATATCACATATCACGAGACGACGACGCACGTGCGCTTAGATTATTATTTCGAGAGCGTGGATGCGAGCGGCGCGGCGGCCGGCAATTCAGCTGGAGACGAACGCGGCGATCTGCTCGCTGAACTGCGTGTGCTCCAGCAGCAGCGAGTCCTTGCAGCTCTCGAACTGTTGTTGCTGTTGCTGCTGCGACGGCGGTTGCTGCACCAGCTGCGGCGGCTGCTGATGCTGCGCCTGGTGATGGTGCTGCTGATGTTGGTGCTGCTGGTGGTGCTGCGAGATCTCCTCCGGCTCGGGCTCGGTGCGCTCATAGAGAACGCAGATGGAACCGTTCTCGCCGATCCTGTACGACACCTCCGACGGGTCGATCCACATGGTGAGCTCGCTGGGGAAGAGGTTGTGGAGAACGGTCGGCAATAGGCCGACGTTCGCGCCCGCCTGGGCGATCACCGGGTCCATTTTGCCGTTGATGCGGATGCAGCGGTAGCCGGAGCCGCGGTTCGGCCGGTCCGGGAACCAGTGGTCGCGGTAGCGATGGCGCAGCACCTCCGTCAACGAGGACTTGAACATCTCCAGCTGCCGTTCCGACAGCTGGCCCGCCTGCAGGCGCAGCAGGTGCACCAGAAAATCCGCCGCCGACACGATTTCCAGTCTCATGCTTGACGGCAACGCGACGACCCAGGGCGAAAAACGCGGGGCGAAAAATGGAAAGAGTTGGGACGGTCCGGGCTAACAGTTGCCGTCGCAACGGTGGGCTCGGCGATGCTCTCCGTCTCGCTACCACACGTCACTGTCCCTCTCACTCTCTCCGACGCTTCTCTCGAGGCGAGCTGCTCCACGTCGTATGTTTGATCACACACTGGCGAACGCGTTCGAAGATACGCGCGTGTCACGGATCACGGCGCGGCCCTGAGGAGTAGGCACGACGACGGTGCTGATCCCGAAAGAAGCGCAGTACGGTATCAGTTACAAAATGGCGTCGTCGCCACGTCGCTGCGTAGCGCTCTACGGCTGCGGCGGCACGTCGTCGGCGCTCCAGCGCGAAAAGCGAAACCGCCGGGGCGTCCCTCGTCGAGGATTCTCGTCGACGACGGTGCGACGGAAGTACGGCGCGTCAGCGAGCGTGCCGTCGTCGGGGATCGATCTTCCGGGCGGGAGCGTACGCGCCCTGTTCTTCCACTGTGCGCTCCGGCTCCTTCTTCCTCTTCTTCCTCGTCGTCGTCGTCGTTCTCCTCCTCCTCGTCGTCGTCGTCGTCGCGAATCGAGCGCGCTTCGTCTGTCCGCGTCGTCACGCTTCGTCGCGCACCGGCTCGGGACCCGACGTGCGCCGACCGCGAGAGAATCGAGAGAGCTCGGTCGCCGACGGACGGTACGATTCTCACGACCGACTGCTGAAGTTTCGCGGCGAACCCGGATTCCGTCGTCTTCCCGAACCTTCCGAGCTCTTTTCCTCTTTCCTCTTTCCGCGAACCGACTGCTACCCGACTCGACCGGACAAACTTTCTCGCGAAACCTTCGCTCTGGGACTCCGACGTTAAATTCGCTCCTTCTCGTCCGACTCGCGGAACACCCGCACTCATCGACTGCCGACGACTTTCTAATGGCAGCGCTCGCGGGGACGAATGAGCTAGCCTCGTCTCTTTGTTCGAGCGACGCCGGACGAGGGTGGGGGGGCTCAGGCCAATCGTCGCCCAGCGTCGCCCACCGCGACGCCTTATCACGTGACCGTCCTCTACGCGCGGTGGTAGCTCGCGGCCGCAGCTGCGTCCCGAATACGGGCCGTCTGCGTGTGTCAGTGGCTCTCAGAGCGCATTAATGTCCATGCGATGTACAATCCCGGCGAATCGAAAATTCGAACCGTCTCTCTCGCCGCAGTTGTTGCTTCTGCGAAACAATCGCATGCGACCGCGCCGTTATCGTCACGGCCGCCGAAACAGATTAGGCGCTTAGCCTCACTTTCCTCCAGTTTTTCTCTCTCAGGTATATGTGTCCTACGACCGTACAATTTAGCACCTTTTTAGGAGTGGCGCCTGTATCCGAGGCGCAGGTATGCGCACCGTTAAATTACGAATACGTGTCGCTCTTTTCGCCGAGTAATTTCACGAGAGCCGAGTAATCTCGGTAATTGCATTTCTTTTCATTTGCCCCTTCCCTGCCTCTTTATGTGTTTCTTTGTACTTCCTCCCCTCCCTCTCCCCGCTCTTTCTGTAATTGCATTTATTACTTTGTACTGTCACCTTACTATGTTGCTTAGTACACATCTCGGGTTTGGCCTAAGAGCAGCAGTCATTGTTGATTTTCAGTTGCAATAAAGCGTAATAGAAATAGAAGGAGAAAAATAGAGAGGAGAATTACGACGGATTTATCCGCGCGAGCAGTCGTGATGATGTTCTTTCGAATTCAGACCAGCGGCTCTCCTCACATTCTCGCGAAGTAACGTCGGAACGCTCATTTACAAATGCGATGTAACACAGAGACGACGAGCTGAAACGTTCAACCAGTCTGGGCTGCGCAACCTTACGCGGTAATTTTTCTCCTCCACGTCGCACGCAACTTGAAAATTTCATCCGTCCGCGGACATTTTCGACTTGTCGAAGAAATTTCCCGGTCGACGATCTCTACGTTATTTTCTGCCCTTCGTTGGTTGTCCTTCAGTATGTCGCGCACGGATAAGAAGAATAAGCTCCCACGACTAAAAACTAGCTATCCATATGATACAACTGAAATTTGGTTACCAGACTTAGTTTTTAGCTGTGGAAGCTAATTCTTCTTTCCCGTTTACGAATACAGCCGCAGAAATGAGCCTTCCGCCGATAAAAACTAAAAGTCTGGTAACTAAACAAACGAAACGGGTAAACTAAATTTCAGTTGTATCACACGGATAGCTAATTTTTAGCCGCGGCGACTACTTTCTAGCCGTGAAAGCTAATTCTTCTTTTCCGCGTACGATGCGAAGAAGGCGGCGATGTTGTTTCCGTCATTTTCAATATCATTTTTCAACTCGCCATTTAGCGATTCACGAGCACTTCGGCGTACTCGATCGTGCAACACGAATTTGTCGCGCCATTACCGCGCGGTGAGCACCACTGACCCCACAGGTTTTTAAGTATGAACCCGAATGAGGGAACAAGCGAATAGAGAATACCGACTGCTAGAAAGCGCGTAGGTTACAATACACACGACTATGTGACGAGCCTCGCGACCGTGCGAGATAGCAGCATGAAATCCACTTCGTCCGACCCGAGATTTATCCCGAAACTCGAACAACGGCTCGCAACAGGGGCAGGAGAGAAAAAAAGTTCAGCCCCGTCGCGCCGAACCCTTCCACGAACCCTTGAACCCTTTGACATGCGGGTACCCTTTCGCTGCGATTCAATCGCAAGACTGCACGTCGCAGAAAAAATGGATAGGGTCGATGTGAAAATTATTTTTCGTCGGCTCATTTCGATTCTTCGCGGCACAATGGACCCGCCGTGTCGCAAAGAGAAACGCACGGACCTGCGCGATGGCCTGCGACCGAAATAAGCGTAACTTCTCTCGTTGAAAGATACAGAATCGCATAAGAAGAGAACAAGAAAGAGAGAGAGAGAGAGAGAGATATGCCCTTTAAGAAAAGTAATCGTGTAAAAGTGCACGAGTTAATTTGCGATGTAAGTTAAAAATACAAAGATAAGTTACGATAGTTGAAGATAGTAAATAAGAAAGAAGAGATTAGGTAAGTAAGATTACACGGAAAAAAAATTGGCGTCAAGTCAAAACTCATATTCTCATATATAAGCAATGCATAATCTTATGCGAAGATAAAACCTGCTTGCACGAAGAAGTTCCATTTAGTTTTATACAGTTTTAGTTTCACTAAAAGTATCATATTCATGTTATTCAAGAATAATTTTCATAAATCGAGAAGAAAATATTTCAGATAGGAAGCACGATATCTTCAAACTAAGAATTGTAATCAGTCCGAAGATATCGTTCTTTCTATCCGATATCTTTTTCCTTTCATGAAAATTATTCTTGAATAACATGAATAAAATATTTCTAGCGGAACTATGTACACATAGGATTTCTTTACGTAAGAAAGTTTTATCTTCAGATTAGACTATATATTCTTGCTTATATATGAGATTATGAGTCTTGAGTGAATGCTGATATTTTTCCCCCCGTAGATTATAACGCAAGCTTTAACTAATAAAATGATCCAAATGGAAAGAAAAGGTGGAAAGAGAGATAGAAGGTGTTTTGTGTCTTTTAACGGAACGATGACGCTGCTCGACGCCGGGCATTTTCGTCGTCGGACGTCCGACCGATTCGACCCGGAAGGTTAATCGGAATTCGCAGTATCCTCCCTGGCGAAGGTATGAAAGCGGATCTGATTTGCCAACCGCGTCGCTATGTGGAGCATTTCATTCGTAATTCCGGGAGTTTGCCGCTGCCAAGTTGGCAACTAGAGTGCCGATCGATAAGCTCCCCGGATTATCGTGGCCGGCTTCGTTCGTCCCGCGCACGAACCGCACGTGAATTTCGTATGCCGGGAACTCGCGCCGGCGCGGCCGGAGAGTCGCAAAAATCGCGCGAAATCGCGCGCCGTCGCCGTCGTTGCGGCTCCGACGCAAATCTGCCGCCGGGCCGATTGAATAATGCAGCTCGATCTTCACGGGGCGCGACCGCTCGGCCTCGAATGAGAAAACAATCCGAATTTTAGAATATTCCATTAGATCGATCCGTCAAGCTTTTCCCGCAGAGCGCACGTTTCATTTATCGGTCTCCTTCCATTTGCAAAATACTTTACACAAAAGCTCATCCGGTGTTTGTGGAAGAGTGCCTTGAGATGACTGGTTAAACTAATCGATATATTTATTCAACGGGGAAGAAAAGCTCTTCTTTTACCGGCAGAAATGGAGACGTGCTAATCTAAGGCTCTTAGGCGCGCATTAATAATTGAAACTTTTCTCACGCGAGACACTCAGATCCACATTTGTTCTGCTGGATTCGAGTGTGACTCACTTGAACCGTGAAATACACGCGACATTGCATTTGTAATCGCAATTCAGCTCGCGCATAACTCCGAATTCAATTCCGGGTGTCTCGTGTGAAACGAGTTCCGACGATTATTAATGCTGGTCTTAGATTTGCGAGCAATATTAACAGCCAACGAGAGCCACCGCAGCTCGATCGTTCCGAATGGTTAATTAATTAACCGCAGGGAGACGAAGAACAGGCTGCAGACCGTACATATGTGCGTGCGTGCTCGAAAGTTCGAAACGTCATCGGCCACCGTCAAACGGCCGAGAAACTCCGCTTCCGCACACAAAGGAAGTCGCTGAAACGAGCGAAAATATTGCGTTCCGGACGATCGAAGGTAGCGCTCGGCTAAATGTCGCGAAATTGGTTAATTTCACAATCGACGTCGTCATCGTCCGTTTTATCGTTCGTGTGATAACTCCCGACCGTGCACACACACGCGCACGCACGCACACACGGGCGTTCTTAACGACGACTGCTTCCGTTTTCGCGCGTCCTGTTTATTACGAGGATGACGACGACGATGAGCGAGGAATACGTGAAAGTGTCTTTCGACGCTTTCCGTTCGAGACGTCTCACGCGAGAGAATCTGAGCCGTCGACTCGGCGGCATCTACGACGATGCGAAACGACAATACAACGCGAAAAGACGAACGGAGTATTCCGATTCGTCCGCGGTATTCCAAGCGCGAGGACGAGAGCGAGAGAAGCGGGCGGCAGCGGGCAAAATATGCCGAACGTGCGATTCGCCCGAAGGGGTGCCGTATATTCAAATTACAGGGGGAGGGGGGCGACGACCCTTCTCGAAAACTTGACGAGGGGCGGGCAGGGTGAACGAAATTGCCAGCGGTGTAAGCCGCCGGCGGTCTCTCTCGCCCGGAAGGTTCTCTAAAATCAATAGGGCCGCTTCGGGCCTAGCCAGCGCGTTCTGCATTCTGCCTGCGCGCGCGGCGGCGAGTTCCGCTTGGAAATCCATCCGTCGGCCGTGAGTCCCCGCTGAAAGCTACAATTCGAGCCGCGCGCACCCGAAAACGCGGCGGCGCTTCGTTAAGCCCCGCGATTCTCAGGTAGCCCCGGAATCCGTCCCAAGGACGTGAGAAACTCGCAAAAGTCTGATCGAAGGTGAAAACGATGCTGATGGGGTATCCCGCGCTTTACACGCGGAGAATAATTCGCTCGTGAAAATCGCACGTGCACACGAAAGAAAATGCCGTTGTGTCGATAGAATTAGCCAACAGTGCCGTAGCGCATGTAGAAAATTCCCTGGGGTCTAGTTAGTGTCCGGTTTGATTTTCCAAAAAGATTATAGACTCCGGTTGGGAAATCTATACATATTTAGGTTGGAAGAAATATTGTTTCAAAAATGTAATTTTAATCGGGAAGTAATTTTCCTATGATTCTTGTTATATATTAAAATTAAACAAAACACAACTGAATAGCTGAGAAATGTGATTACTCTAGAAGCTATTTTCTTTTCATTTTTTTCCTACTTTTTAGAATTCAATAGTAAATATGAAAATGTGGAACCTCGTCTATTTGACCTCGTAAAAATATCCTAATTTTATCTATTATAAAATATAGCACGTGTTTCCACAGTATTTCTGTCT